TTAGTTATAAAGTTTTTGTTGGGGTTTTGTTTCTTTACTTATTTTTGTTTCGTTTATTCTTTTTGTTTCTTATTTTTGCTTTTGTTTTATTATTTTTTGGTTATTATTCTACTATTTCTCTGTTAATCACTATTAAGCGCTACTTTATATTAAATTAGTGTTTATGTTCAAAAATATAACTCAATATATTTTTGGCTCAAATCCCTAATTAAGAAAATATTTAATAGAAATATCGACTCATTTGAAGAGTGGAAGCCTTCGCGAGAATTTTCATCAGTAATACTAATAATAATCTTTGACTGCATTTTCTATGTGCACTCATTTATTGAAAAAGTTTTCATTTCAATATTACCTGTATTTGAGTGACCAAACGATTGACTCTAAAAAGGATTAAAAGTTGTGAAATGAAAATAAATATTTTGTAAGAATAATAATAATGAATATGAATATCAAAAGTGATAATAACAGCAGTGATAGACAGTGTAGTAACTGCGGGACAACGAGTACCCCTTTATGGCGAAAATACGGTTCCTGTCATTTCCTCTGTAATATCGCATCCAAACGATTCATTTGTGACCAAAAAGTCTATAAAAAAAATTACATAATTTTCAGGCAATGCGTGCGGACTGTACTACAGAGTGAACGGTGACCACAGGCCTCACGTGAGCAAAATATCCCGGGTGTCGACCCTCCGTAAAAGTTTCCTGCACTGCGCCAACTGTGGCACAAACAAGACAACGATGTGGCGCCGGGACGCGGGAGGGGTTCATGTGTGCAACGCTTGCGGTCTATTCTTTCGCATCAATGGCTTCAACCGGTAATCACCGCTCGGTTTCGCAAATCATTTCCAATGATAATTATCACACTTTTCAGACACTTTTTTCTTTGTTTGTCTCTTTCTTAACACACATTTTACACTCGAAGCGCCCGAAAGTGTAATTTTTGTTGTGAATTGTTTTTTTCTTTTGGTTTTGTATGTCTGTCACCAAAAATGACAGATTTGTTAATAATTAGGATTTTCTCTTTTATTTTCGCCCAAAAAATGCTTGTTTTTTGTTTGCATTTAATTCTCAATTTTGATTTCACATATTAATGCAAATTATATTTCAATTTCGTTACGTTTTTTGGGCACAAATCATATCAATCTTTATATTAGCGATTTTGAAAGGCACACAAAATGTTATACATTTTATTCAAAAGACTTAATAATTCATTAACAGCTTTACATTGACTGATGATTTTGTGCTGATTTCTCATTCATAGGCTTATAATTATTTCTGACTTAAAACTTACTTTTATTAGACATTTAATGAATGAAAATTAGATAATTTGATGGTATAGTCGATTGAAACTAATTTAAGTCAAATCAATCAATTATTTTTATGGAGTTAACACTTCCTTCTAATCCATATATGGACTCAATATCTGATACCTAATCCCAGGCCTGTGTTAACCCCTTTCCTATAGGCCGGTGTCTATGAGACGGGATGTGATTCGGACCCGAAAACGACGGGAAAAGGATTTAATGCAATCGCCGGCGGAGGAGGCGCTGAGTAATAGCGCGAGTCTTGACTTGTCATCCATAGAGCTGTCGTCTCTGAGCGCCGACACGACTATCAAACTGGAAGCGGACGGACACTTGACTCCGACGACGCCGTCGTCCACACTGTCCTCGCCGTCCACCTCATCCAACGAGTCGTGCAATTCATACAATTATACGGATCATCCGCCAAACGACTGGACACCACATCATGACGTCAATCCACTCACATATATCTTCACGGAGTCCATGGATTACTACAATCCCGAGCACACGGCCATCAGTTGAGACACATTTATCATTCATATATTTCACTCATTTTTGGCTTTTAATCCGATAACTGATAATTTATTTTATCTGTTGTCCCTTTGAATCTCATATTAAATCTCAATTTAAACTTTAAATTTTAAAGTAACGTTAAAAATATATTATTTTATTTGTTTTATGAAATTTTAGTCACTATTTTCTCAATGTTATAAAATTATCAGATATTATATAAATCTAGATATATTAGT